AGGTATTTTAATGTTTACATATTTAGAATTTCTCTTTTAATTTGTGGTTAGTGATAAAAGTTAAATATTTGCTGGTTTAAGTTACCTACTGTACATGTATATTCATGGAAACTATGTGCCCCAGTTTTGATCTCAGCACGGTGTTCAGTCCTTCGAGTATAGCAACAATTATATTTCAGTAGCTGTTCCTTGCTACAGTACAACGTTTATTTCAAGGCTACCTCGAAGTGACAGGTTTCTGACGTGGACAAAACGCTTTGAAGTGGGTGATCGAAGGAATCGTGTAAGCTATCAATTGACAGCTGGCTAGAAACCAACATTTGGCGAATAATTTCAATGTTCGAGTAGTGTATGAAGTATAAGAAGAAAATTGAAATTTTATATAAATTTATATTTTTATTATAGATCCACTATCAATTGGACAGCAAAATTTCATTCTTTCCTATTCAACGATCTCCCCCTAAAAATATTTCACAACTCTAGGAAAAATCACATATATAATATAGATCTGCTACCAGCTGAGGCACAATAAAATAGAATTTCAGCAGAATTAAATACTTTCCAATTCATCTTATCCCCCAAAAAGGATAATTTCACGACAGGAAGGGAAAAATCACATTTCTTACAAATTTACAATTTTATTATAAATCTACTAATAACAGCAAAATTTAGGTTTTTCTCATTTAACTATCCCCCCAAAAAGAATAATTTTATGACAGGAAGAGAAAAATCACATTTCTTTATAAATCTACCACAAACAGCAAAATTTAAATTTTCCTCATTCAACCTTCCCTCCAAAAAAGAATTTCACGACACGAAAGAAAAAATCACATTTCCTGCAAATTACTATTTCTATCATAGCTCTCCTTCCAACCGAAGTAACGTAAAACCTCAATATTAAGTATTTCCCAAATCACCCGATCCCCCGAGAAAAATAATTTCACGACTCGAAGAAAAATTACATTCTCTACTCTCCATAAATTTTCCCTCTCGACAACTATCGTTCCGTTCTCTCCATCCACGATCTCCGGCGAAAACGGAGCAGCTGGTACGGCGTGTGTCTCGGGCCGTGGCCAAATATCCGGCGAAACGAGCCGGCGCGAATTGGAAACGCGGATACGAGGAAGTTTCATGCTCGATCATAGCCTGGTGCACGTAGAGACCGACCGACGCGCGCGCGGTCACTCTCTTTCGGATAGAAGAGCGGCCGCAAAAAGTCCGTGTTCTCGCCCCGGTGTGAAAAAGAGAGAAAGAGCCAGTTATTCTGGTCCAAGCTCTTCTGATGCGCTTTTCTCTACGATGGCCGGCTGGAATTCTCCACCAGAGGGAACCACGTGTCCCCTCTCAGACAGCGTAGAAGGGAGGAGAGGAGTGGGGAGCGAGGTGATGAAGAGGACGAAGAAGAGAAGGGGCCAATCTCAAATTACTTGGTGAGCTCCCGGCTAGGCCGAACGAACATCTTTGCCCACCATTGCCCGCCGACCTTTTATAGACACTCGACGGGAGTGGGGGAGGGGCCGGGAGGTCGAGGAAATTTGGTGAAAACTGGAAGTTTCGTTTAGGGAAACGGAGCGATCCACGGAGTTTTGCTTTCTTACACCCTGTTTTTTTCAGCTTGTCCGCTGTGCTTGTTACGATCGAAAGGAGATAAGAGGATGATTTATCGTTCGGGATAAAATGTTGAATTTTGCAGGATTTGGAAAGTTGTAGGTGATCTCTTGTTGCGGTTTCCGGCGGAGAAAAATGGATTACGAGATATAAATACGGGAGGAATTCGCGGCGTTGGAGGGAGAATGCTAGTAGAATGGGAAGCTCTTGTTTCAGGCGGACGGTCAGTAGTATAGGTAAACGTACGAGCACGCCGGTATCGGTATAATGAAATTACAGCGATCTATGATATGTACAATTATTGTGTGGCGTGTTTATATCGATCTTTTGTTCTTGTAAAATTTATTATTTGCCGTAATGTTGGTTTGAAGGCGATAAAATAAGGAAAATGGAAATTTAACTTTATCGTTTTTTCTACTTACGAAATGAAGACTGAATATAGGGAATTTTAAGGAAATCGTTGTTTATTTAGCAAAATGTTATTTATTAAGAAAATGTATGAAAATTTATTTTTCACATACATCACGCTACTTCACATAATCTTACGATACCTTTATTTTAATATTTCAGTCTTATTGATTAACAAACGAAATGTTTTATATTAGAAGAAAAGATGAAAGTTTGACGACACTTACAGCATTCTTCTCTACAATCCTGAAATGTAGGTCACTAGAAAAATGTGCACTTTACATTCGACACGTAAAAATGAAGTGCAAATAACTTTTATGTTACTTAATAAATATTCATTTTACGTTTAATTACGTAGGTATTTATTTTCTTCCACTAATTCCTTTTTATTCCTTCCAGCTTTTACGAAAGATTCGCGCATCATCCACGTGAGTTACTCCGAACCTAATAAATACCGAATTCCTCGTTGCACCAAGAATCGAAACAGCTGCTCATTCATAGACCAACATTGAAAACAATGCACCCTTCAGAAGATAAAACTAACCTCCGCTATTAATTTTCGCGTATTACTCAACCTTGCTGAAGCATCACTCACAACTAAACAAGCAAACAAAGATGGACTATAACGAGGTCATTCCACTTGCTGGCATTCGTCAATATGTGCTCTCTTTCAAATCGTCAGAAGAAGCTCGTTTATTCATCGACCAGAACTGCAATAACAGCATCGTCCCAGCATTCTCGTTAGCATGATCTGAACGTCAACAACGGTGCAACGAGTGCAAATAGCATAAAGCTCGACAAATTTTCTCACAGCTGCACGAGATTGTCGAGGAATCACGTCGCGAAGAATACGGTTTCGTAGACGACGATTTTTCATCGCGGAACTCACCTGTTGACTCATCGGTCAACCTCTTTCCGTCCGCTTACTCGCTCGTTATTTATAGCGAAAAATGATAAAACAATTGGCCGATTGAAAAGCATATTCCTAACGCGGTGAGTGGAGTGTGGCGTAAAAATAGCCAGGCGTGATTCGACTGTTCTGAAACGACATTTTGGCTTCGATATGACACACTGTGGCCCGGTGACGTACCACCTGATTGTTACATTTCACGTGTGCACGCGCGCGTAGTTATAGGTTCGAACGTGTCAACGACTCCTCCCATCGATGACCGATCTATGCGGGAACCGATGACCCTGCAGCTTTTCAAGTACGGTATATCTAAATCGGTACGAGGAGAAACGCAGTTACGGCGGTCGGATGTTAGGCGAATAATTCTGCTAAGAGGCGTGGGACGCACCGAAGATGAATCCAAATTCTGTTCGTTAAGCAGCTGAGATAATCGCGAGGAGCCAATCGATTTTTAACCCTTTCGATACGGAGTTTCGACGCGCGAAAATAAATCCGCAGACTGATTTCTTTTTTTTTTATTTTTCTGTTTGTTTCAAGACACGCGACGAGGTTTATTTAAGGAAATCTGAATTGCGAAATTTTTCTGTAATAATTGATAAACGATAGTAATGATAACGTGTGAAAGGGTTAATTGGTGATCGTACACCTGTTGAGTTTTTGGGTTTTGTCAACTTTTAGGTTGAATGGTCGTGTGACGAAACTGTGCATTGAGTAACAATTGAAGATTGAAAGGAGAAAAGAAATTTCTGAGATTTTTGAATTTTCGAAATTTTGCAAATAATTTGTAATAATTGAAAATTTTGATATTTTCGTTTAGAGAAGGCATTATTCATGTGTCAGCGTTACTAACTATTGCGAATATTTGACAGCAATGTACCGGAAGTGTTGTTTGTCGGAGCACCGGAAACTGGGCAATATTGATATCTTAATATTCGGTACAATGTGAAACATAATACGTCATAACTTCGCGAAATACGATGCGTGGTGTTAAACAATGCGCGGATTACAGTCGAAAATAAAGCATCTCCGCGGATTTCCACTTTGATAATCTCTGGTTACACGTACGAAGTTGCTGGCTGCTGCTCAACAACACAGCAACAGAGCATATTTTGCCTCTTTTTTGGTCCAGAAATACTATAAAAATACGATTTTTAAACGTGAAGAGAACAAGCAATTCGCGAATATCGTTTTTAGAGTGGCGCGTAGGTGGGACTAGCTACGAACTCTAAATCAAACCCTTTATTGCCATAGAATTCGTATTTTTAACATGAAGAATAAGTCTCCTTTTCTAACTTATATCCTTTAAAAAAAGATTCTTATAAAATGTAATAAAACAGTGATTTCACTCAACTATTTCACCACTGATCTTCTTTTAAAAACCGCCACTTAAAATTCCTGCAATTTTATTATTAGCAATGACTAAGACACACTTCGCATTATCCCAAAAAACATATACACCACAAAAAAACACTTACATCCTCGCATCGTCATTTTCATTATCTTCGATGTAGAACAAGGCCGTGCCGAATCACCCAATAATAATAACAACAACAGTAGTAACAATAATAATATCTTTATTGCATCACTTTATTGCATAAAACACCCCCTGAAAATTCTCTTCGCGAGAACCACCCTCTCCAATTCCACTCGAACGTAATCGAACCTAACCCAATTATCCACAGCACATAATCTCAAATTTCTTCTTTTCAAAAAAAAGAAGAATGCAAAATAAAAGAAATGGTGCGATTGACGTTGAAATGGCTGATTATCGTTGGAGGATTGGCCACAATCAAACCTAACCCAATTTTCCACACCACGCAAACCCAATCTTTCCGAAAATAAAAAAAGGAAAGAAAAATAAAAAAAGGTGCGATTGACGATGAGATGGTTGATTCCCGTTGGAGGAGGCAGCTTGGCAGCTTGGCTAGGAAACGTGGGCGTCCGCTAAGCGGCGGTGGTGTTTGGCTGGTGGTTCCCCTCGGCCACGATGACGAGTCGCGGTCGCGTGTTCCTGGTGGGGGTCGGTGATCTAGCGCGCATGCGCGCAACCGTCATTTTGACGAAGCCATGGAGCCGCCGGCGCGCCATACGAACGACGACGGGTCGCGCACTACGAGTAGGGCGCTGGTCGGCTCCGAAACCCCCGAAGAACAAGAAGAAGACGAAGGAAGAAGAAGAAGAAGAAGAAGAAGTGGAAGGATACGAAGTAAGAAGATACGAACCGGTGAGAAAAAGGGAAGAAAGTGGTAGAGAGAAGATTTTACTTTAGGACGCGATTTATCTTTGAGAGAAAACTATAGAAACGACTACTGACAACCCCTGTGTGAGCAGCTCGTCGAGGCCAAGAAAGCTGCAAGCTCGTTCTTTCTTTTCTTTTTGTAGCGAGAAAAAGCCCGAGGAACAAACGAATCTCTCGGCTGTATTGATATCGAGGTTTTCGTCGTGAAAAGTCGCGAGTGAAACAAGCGGACAGGATGTCTTCAGCGATCGCTAAAGCTTCCAAGTACACGTACCGCTCCACCGGCGGTGGTACTGCCGATGTCAGCATTGAATACAGCGCCGACCTGAGCGCTCTCACCAGACTGGAGGTAGGTCCACATGGAAACGAACCGAGAAAAACTGTCTTTTACGAGTAATTTCGTAACCATTCGGTTTTTTAACCGAACTCTAACTGAAGCAAATTTAACGATCAATTTCTACGAACCTTTTATTTATTATTTTTCTTTTTGGCCTGGATCGATTTTTCTGAATTTCACGTTTTTCGTTTCGTAGGTCTAATATTCAGTATTATCCCTTATGAACTGATTATTCTAGTTTTATACGTAGCCTTCATAAATGTGTTACTTATCGGATATTCTAATAAAAATGAGGAGGGAACAGGAGAAATCTTCGAAGTACAAAAATAAAATTTTTAATTAGCATGTCTAACAGATACAGCTGAAAGTATGTTTCGAAAGATCCTCTAGAAAATATCGATCGTAGATCGTGTCAGATCTAGCTTCTTCGATCAGACTACCGAACCTAAATCGTTCATCCAACTCTGCCCGATGACGCAACGTTAGAAGACTGATCTCTGAGACGAAGAAGAGGACATCGCGAGTAAATGAGGGAAATTTCGCGAGCTCAACCCCGAAGATCGATGCAAGACGAAAGTATGACCACGCACGGGAAGTGATCGCTGGTGAAAAAAAAAAAAAAAAACGGTGAAAAGTCGATGCAGTGACCGATTTCGGGGACAGTGAGACGCGAGAAAGTTCAGTGACCATAAGGGATATTAGTGCCAACCCTGACTGAGGAACGAAAGTGTCATAGACGTTTCTCTAGCTATCGGATTGCTCGTGTACGAAAATAGTCGTAAAATATCGGGCCCTAAATGACGATCGTGCCACGCAGGAGTGACATCTTCAGAGCTGCACACTGAAACCTCCGACGATCTGGTTCTTTTCTCTGGATCATTTTCAGCAGCTCTACAAACTCGATAAGAACCAAATGGAGGACAAGGAAACGTGTACTCGTCCATGTGGACTCGAGTAAGATTGTTCAAGGTGTTCCTTTACGCTTTTCTTTTCTATTTCTTCTATCTTCACCGTCTCGATTCGAGAGAAGAATCGTTTGGCGTTGATACTCGCGAAGGAACACGAACAGACGAGTGCACGTTCCTTGGTTCTTGTTTGATTGAAAACGACCCCGATGGACCTTTCGCTGAAGAACGAAGATTCCTCCTGTTCCCTCGAGGGCCAAGCCCGTTTTCAGAGGTTGTCCGTCTTTCTGAAATACCTAACCGAGCATCGGCCTGTTGGGTATTTTCGTCAGCCGATTACGTAAAGCACCGACCACTCTGTAACGTGGCCCGCGAATATTCTCTAATCCTTTTCTATTCCCTATCGTTTCAGGACAAAATCCGCCTGCTGCAGGATGACCTGGAGTCTGAGAGAGAGCTGCGTCAGAGGGTGAGTTCTCCTTGTGATCTTTCGCTCTCTATCGAGGGATTCGCGTTGGAAAGATTTGCTGTAGAATCTATTATTCTTTTGACACTCTTTTTTTCTTTTAATCATCTCAGAGTGTTAATTACATCACTTCTGTTTTTTTCATTTGTCAGAAAGGTATTTGGTAGTTTTGGATTCCTAGCATGCTGTATGACTTAGATTTCGTGTAGTTTTAGATTCAGATTTTTCTGACGAGTTTGTTTTAACGGCGAAGAAATTCGAGCAAGATGCACGTCGAGATGGAGGAGATAAAAATATCGATACAGTGATAAACGTCAATTTCGGGACTTTATGTAATCCGGGTATTGTGAATTTTGAAACTGATACAAAAAAAGCGAGGCTGGCCTGCTCTCCACCATAGAGTGGGGAGCAGTAGGTCGAAATGTCCAGCTCTCGAGTCGCGGCTATTTTTGGGGATGCGCGCCTCTTCAGCGTACTGAAGTCGCATTCCTCTTTCGTGTTCGGCTAACATGTAACCACGTCTACTTGTTTAACTCGAGGAAAAAATTTCACGAATGACAGTGTTTCTAAGGAAGAATTCGTTTGATCGAAAAGACACATTAATTACAAATTTCTATCGATCTATAATTTTACAGAAATCATTTTTTTATTAATCGTATAAAGTAATCTTTTCTTTTTTCTTCTTTTTTTTTTTTTGATAAATAGGAACGAAATTTTGATGCTTTCTGTATTGTTTAGAAGGCAAATTTTTCATTCGTCGAAAAATTTAACGTGGTATTTAAGAGGCAATGGTAGATTGTTTAAATGACGCGTTAAATTTAAGGAGAATTCCTCCAGTTTCATTGTTCGAACAAGCTCCGAGGAAATCAAATTCATACGCAACGGTGCTCGTGATACGTGGTTTGAACCGGTGCCAGCGACGTTCTTCGTGCCTTGGAACAGCAAAAACTTGGAAATTACGATCGCATTAAACGCATATCGCCCGATAAAGTGTCCGTTTGATCATCCTGGTAAAAAAGAAACGCCCCAACGCTGCTTAGATCATGTTTCTTATTACATAATGTTGCGAATTCTCGCTGTTTCGATTGCGTTCCTTTGGCCAAATTCATCTTCTGTCCTTACAATACCCTCGTTTACGAACTGATCGAATCGATAGAAGAAACTTGCAAGTGTACATAAGTTTTTTAATTATGTTTTTCAATTAATTGGATCTTTTAATTATTCTATATTTAATTTTTTTTAAATATTTCAAATTTCATTGCCACTGTTGTCCTTCGTACTCTACACTTCTACTGATTACGTTCTTTTTTTGTTTTCAGAAATTTCTTAAATTATCACTATAATTATTTCTAATTTTATTATTATCAAATGTTCGACAATTTTCTTTTTGTAAAATTTTACAAATTTTTTTCGAATTCTTTATTACGGATCTTTTTGCCGAAAGGACATTTCTGTACGAAGAATTCGCCGGAAAGCATGGAGAACGCTGTTGTCTTCCGGTGAACGGACAGTTATGGCGATGTCGCGCGTCTCTCTTTTCTCGATAAACGCCTCGTTTGTAATATGAATAAAGCTCCCGATATAGAGCCGGTCCGTACGGAATTAGATCGTTCTATTCGCGGTCCGAAGAAACCTGACGTCAAGCTTGCACCGAGCTGTTCGCGTCGTTCCTCGAGGCCTCTTTCCAAAACAATGCCGCGCGTCTCGATTACACTCGACGTGTATCAACATGATCGCCACCGAGATGAATTCCTACCTGTAGAATATGCACCAAGTAGAATTTTATATCGTGGGAATTCTTCGTTTATCTCGTACGCTTCGTAACACTTCTTGGTAATTTCTTCTTTTTTTTTTTTTTGTGGATACAACGTACAATATTGACATGACCAAATTTTGATAGTTGTAGAAACAGAAGTGTTTGTCAGTGAATTAATTTTAAATGGAAAAAGTAGGAGGAGACAGAAAATGTTTGAATATTAATTCAGTAAATTGAACGATGCTTCGGTGAAAAATTTAATCTCCTACTCGAAATACTCCTATTTAAGACAGATTCATCGAATGAGAAAAGAACATTTTTTAATAGCACGTGGAAGATTCTAGAGCATTAAACTTTTCCAGATTGATTCACATGAAAATATTAGTGTGTGTCATTTAATGTACTCTGATTATTTCATTTAAATTGCAGATCGAACGCGAGCGCGCTGATTTAAGCGTGCAAGTCATCCAGCTGTCCGAACGTCTCGAAGAGGCGGAGGGTGGCGCCGAATCTCAAGTTAGTCTCAAAGTCAATCCTTTTAATAGCACACTGCAAGCTACTTCGGCGAATTGTTCAATTTTTCGATTAAATTTTCTCACTGCAATATTAATTATTTTTCGTTGAAATTGAACAGTTTGAGATCAACAAAAAGAGGGACACGGAACTGGCCAAGCTGCGCAAACTACTCGAAGATGTTCATCTCGAGAGCGAGGAGACCGCGCATCTTCTGCGCAAGAAGCACCAGGAGGTCGTTGTCGATTTCCAAGATCAGATCGACCAACTTTCAAAAGCACGCGCCAGGTTAGTACGATAATTCAAATTACACTTCCTCCATTTTCGACGATATTCTCTAGAAATAAATTTTTTCTGCTCACTTTTCTCTTTTCTACTATTTTTCTCATTTTATAATCATTATTCTTCCGAAGTATTCTTCATTAGTTTCATTATTACATTTGAATACACTAGTACACGATATTTTTTACACCAAGATAAGCACAAAAGTAATTACTCTAACACATCAATCATACACTACTCAAAATAGCCACGATAATCAGTTACCCGTGTTTCTTCAGCGTGTCATTCAATACAAAGATTACAACACGGACTGTCACTCTTAAAATAATTCAAACTTACCCAAAAATACGTTTCTCCACTTATTTCAAGTAACTTGTTTCTAACGACGCCACTTGCGTAACCTAATCTTAAGCACATAGTAGCAACACTTCTTCAAAGATTCTCTACTTAAACCAATCACTGTAATATTCTCCAAAAATACTTTTCCAAATTACTTTTCGAGTTTCAAATCGCGATAATCATAAATACTTCATCGAACTGGTAATTATTTAACCAAATGCACTTCGTTGCAACGTCGTCAGGCTTGCCAATTTATTCCAGCATCGAGAATTATCCAAAAATACTTTTCTAAATTACTTTTCGAGTTTCAAATCGTGACAATCATGAATACTCCATCGAACTGAAAATTATTTAACCAAATGCACTTCGTAGCAACACCGTCAGGCTTGCCAATTTATTCCAGCATCGAGAATCATCCAAAAATACTTTTCTAAATTACTTTTCGAGTTTCAAATCGCGATAATCATAAATACTTCATCGAACTGGTAATTATTTAACCAAATGCACTTCGTTGCAACGTCGTCAGGCTTGCCAACTTATTCCAGCATCGAGAATCATCCAAAAATACTTTTCTAAATTACTTTTCGAGTTTCAAATCGTGACAATCATGAATACTCCATCGAGCTGAAAATTATTTAACAAAATGCACTTCGTTGCAACGTCGTCAGGCTTGCCAACTTATTCCAGCATCGAGAATTATCCAAAAATACTTTTCTAAATTACTTTTCGAGTTTCAAATCGTAACAATCATGAATACTCCATCGAACTGAAAATTATTTAACCAAATGCACTTCGTAGCAACATCGTCAGGCTTGCCGACTTATTCCAGCACCGTGAATGATCCAAAAATACTTTTCAAAATTACTTTTCGTGTTCCAAATCGTCGCGATTACAAATATCTCCATCGAATCGGAAATCGTCTAATCAGATACATTTCGTAGCAACACCGTCAGGCTTGCCAACTTATTCCAGCACCGTGAATGATCCAAAAATACTTTTCTCGTTTCGAATGATCTCAATCGTAAATACTCCATCGAATTGGAAATCATCTAACCAGATGCATTTCGTAGCAACACCGTCAAGCTTCCCAACCCACTCCAGCACTGTTAAATCCGAAATGCGATAACATTCGTTCCGGGGGAATCCAAACACGCGTCGAAGCTAGATATGGCCGCAGGAACGTCCGAATCGAAACACCAATAAACCGTGGTTAATTATATACATCTGTAAAAATAAAATGGCGGCCTCGCGATCTCGCTCTTTGAGGTCAAAGCGAGATCTCGTCAATAAACAGCTCGCCGGAAGTTCAAATGTTCGTTGAGACTCGTCTCCGTCTCTCGTCTAATTTCTCTCGGATCGATGGACAAATGACGAGAAATGAAAAAAAAAAGTGAAGAGAAATGACAGAAAGAAGGGATAAGAAGGAGAAGTATGGATAAAACGAAGAGAAACAAGATGGAAAACACGGATGAATCACGATGCTTCGTTAATTATAGCGAGCATCGCGCGGAACGAAAGCGTATTCGAAAATTGCGGGAATTATGCTCGACTATACTGGCCACAGGCCAAACAACGGACTTACTCGCACCTGAAATACGCGTAGACCCGTTCCCCCGGCACTTCTAAACATAACCCGCGTCCTTTTCGACGTCCCGGCGCCCCGACGCGCGTTACCGCCCGTTACAAGGACGCCTCCGTTTCGAAAATTCACCGAGCTGTCATCGAGACGCCGTCTATTATCTTCTGTCGTTCATGTTTGTGTTCGACCATTTTCTAAGTTTGTTTCCACCTTGTCGTTGGGTAAGAATGCCGGTTAATGGACGGTTGTATAGGTTGGCGAGACGATTTCTGGGATTGTATTTGCGTAGTTAAATGTTGTGAGAAAATGATGGACTCTATGGATGCTGATTTCGGAGAATATTGTAGAATTTGAAGGAGAATCGCCGTCACGAGATGCATTATTGAGATGATTAGGATTTTCTGAGACTTCAAGATCATCCTTGCGATAGGGTTGCAAATTTTGAGACAGTGTTGATATTAATTCGATCATATTGAAAGATGATGTTGATTAATTGGAAGAAAGAATAACGTTGAAATATTAATTTTCTAACAAAAACAACAGTACCACATGTTAACAATAAATCAATTGCATTTCCTTATAAATTTCAGTAGCACAATTCGAACACGTTTGAGCACACTTTTCACTCATGTTTAGTCTTAAAATATATCATTAGATATCATAAAAGAACGCAAATAGAATTTTATTTAAAATTCAGGATAGGCTGTTAGAATGAATTCTTAATGAAATCAATTCCTGCGCATTTTATGAAGGAACAAAATGTAATAAGAGACTGCAACTAACGTAAACAATTCTCTTTCTCGAATCTTACCAATTAAAGAGTTTCCTCGTAATATCGAGAAGAGCGATTTTCCCCGCTGAATAAACAAACAAACGGAATGCAAATTAGAGGAAGAAGTAGAATCATCTTATTTCGAGGGTATCCCTCTAGCAATGGCGCGCACAAGAGGAATATCTGATCAGGAATCCAGTTTGAAATCGGAACCCAACGGGATTCCATTCTAAATATGCTTTTCAGCGAAAGCAATTACGACATTTATACGTCAACGGTGTCGCGGCGAAGCAACAGCTAATTGCCTGTTAATATTTCAAGCAGAGAAATAGAACGTTCAAGCCGCCATTAGTGGCGCCCTGAAATGATCAAAGCCAATTTTCTGCTAACTTAAACCTTCCAATTCATCGACTTCCGTTACAAATTTCCAAAGAAAAACAAGAAATTGCACGTTTCGTCTGAAGCTTCTTTCTTCTTTTCCTTTTTCTTCTAGCAAATCTCGGTCAAGTAGATCTGAAGAAGAAATGGGGAAAAAAGTAGCAGTGATAAATAGTGGCGTGAAAAGTTTCCACCTGTTGGTAAAAGGAAAACGTTTAAAACGCTTTTTAAAATAGCCAAACGCCATATTTCAAGCTGCCTTTCGGCGCACTCTTTATTACATAGCCTCCATTATCTTCCTGTTATTCGCTCGTTCTCGCTTAATCTTCTCTTTTCTCTTCAGTTTCTTCCACGTTGTATACGACCTTCTTCTCGCTATTCACTTTAAGAAACATCGTTCTTTCTTTCTTCACTCTGTTTATGCATTTTTTTCAACTTTCTCGCTTCTTTTTATTTCTTCAGTGTTCGTACGCTATGCCTTCGATTTTCTTTGAATCCTGTAACCTAATTTCCCAACTAGTTCCCCAACAGACTATTTCCTTCTTTTTTCCATTATTTTCTCTCGTAACATCAGCTCTTCGTCTTTCTCTTTAATCTTTTTATCAAACTTCTAAATCTTGCCTCTTAAAAGTCCCAGTGATGATAATGTTGAAAATTTGTAAATGTTACATTTTCCACTCGTATCACCTGGCTTGTATCTCCAATTCTCTATTGCCCCTGTATCTACTGTCTCCTCTTGCATCTCTGATTCTCAATTGTAACTGCTTCCAATATCTCTAATTCTGAATTGTACTTGGCTCCATATCTATTATTTAACTCTTGTATCTCTAATTCTCAATTGCAATTGCCTCCATGTCTACTGTTTCCTCTTGCATCTCTAATTCTCAATTGTAATTACTTCCAATATCTCTAATTCTCAATTATAATTGGCTTCGTATCTATTATTTAGCTCTTGCACCTCTAATTCTCAATTTTAGTTGCCTCTATATCTACCATTTACTTTTGCATCCCTGATTCTCAATTGTAATTGCTCCCAATATCTCTAATTCTCAATTTTAATCGCCTCCATATCTACCATTTACTCTTGCACCTCTGAATCTCAAATTTAATCGCCTTCATATCTACCACTTGCTCTTCCATCTCCAAGTCTCCATTATTCCCTCCCAAAAATCCCTCAACCTTTCATCCCTGCCCCAATTCTCTTCTCGTATCATTCTCTCCTCCTCATTTTCAATTCCTCCGTCTCCTCTGTCTTCTTTTTCCCCAATCTCGAAATCTTCCCTCTCAGAGCATTCCTCAGTCTCTTATTACGACCTCCTGTTCACTCTCTTATTCTTCTACTCTCTCTCTCTCTCTCACTCTCACTCTCCGCGATTCCTCCACCAGCGTTGGCGAAACTTTCGCAACTCTCCCCCTTGCGACTTTCTTTCCCTCCTTCTCCCCCTGATTTCCCTCTTTCTCCCACCTTGTTCGTCTCTCGTTTTTATTCTACCGCTGGTTCCCCCCCGCGGGACGCTTTGCTCTCGCGCGGCAGCAACTCGGCTTATGACTATTTTTAACCGTGCGAGTCGCGCGGCAATCCTCAACCCCGCGTTGCCGCGCCATATTAGTACAGGCGACCAGCCCGGATCCCCACTATCCTCGGAATCGGCCGACACCTTACACCCTCTCTATGTGTTACGTGTAGGTGGACCGCTGATACCAACACCGTTCCACGCTCTCTTTATCTACGTTTCTCGATTTCGTTTGTACAGGTTGTCTGTGAACCGATACAGAGAGGGACGAATCTAGGTGAAAAAATAAGTCGAGAATGTGGAGTGAGATTTTTTCGTACGGAGCTCCCTTATCGAATAAATCGATTTTCAAGTTTCTTGGGGGTGTGTGTACTTATGCTACTGTTTTGAATGCAAAAATAATTTTCTATTTCTCCTTTAACCCTTTAACGCTCGTGTAAGACACGTGCACGATCGATACTCCAAAAGGTGCAATCTTTCAAAATTATTTTCTTTCACTTTTCATATTACGCTATCCTTTCTAGCTTATGCTAAAAATCGAAGTCACAGCGTTATGAGTAAATGGGAAACTTATTTCTATACGTGTAGGAAATTTTGATCATTTTTGGCACATTAATTTGAGAAAGATTTTAGCGTTGAAGGATCAAGAGACTCTTCTCTTCTTATCAGAGACTTTACGGTGCTCTACATATAAGTAAAAATGAACGGTTGTCAAGTCTGAGGTGACGGGCGCGTTTACAACTCTGTGAACGTTTTTCCAGAAGAAATAATCTTCTCTTTCGTATTCTTATTATGGTACGCAAAAGATTTCACGTGATTTCATAAGTAAAGATCTATCTTTTTCAGTTAAATGCAGGGATCTTGGCGACCATTGCGATTGATCCTTACTTTCGTTTCACAGTTTATCCCTCGCTGTCTAACGTGAGAACTCAAGTAGTAGTACAGGTAGTTTGCACCGATATTTGTCAGACGTGCATTACCGCTCAAAAATATAATCGCATCAGTTGAAATGCAGTAAAATTGACAGTAACTGAAGGGAAAAAATTAAATAAGCGAGAATGATAAGCTTCACTTCCGTCGAGTTAAACAGTCGACTTAAGTGAAACGAATTTTTGCAAATTAAATTACATTTCTTCGTAAAGTTAACAGATTTAATGGCAATTAAAAGAAAAAGAACAACAGAAGGTTTCGAATAATATAATTGGAATAGTTAAATATGGTATTGCTGTTGAGAAGGATTATGGAATAAAGGTTTAGAGTAAATCTTCAAAAAACTGAAAAATTAATTTCTACTTAAGGGACGACGAAAAAGCAATAATACTACTTTCTCCTATAAATTATTTACAAAAATCTTTCACAGGGAAGAATTTTCCGCTTTTTTTTTAAATTAGCTTCTTAAATGTGAGACAGTCTTCTCCTGTTTATTCTGGATTTAACGGTAATCGATCAGGAGACGTTGATATTTTAGTCCTGTGCTTAAAATGACCGGTGATTAATGATTCAGGTAAATAGGCGAGACAGTCTGGTTAAATCGTCTTTGTGAAATGCAGCGACTTTGAACGATGTTGTTCTTAGACATTGTTTAGGGGGGAACGTTTCCAGCTGCTGTTGTACTTGGCACTGTTGTAAGGTGCATGGCGATTGATGATGGCAATTTGTGGAATTCTGTTGGATTCTTGGTGGTCTGGAATGATTTAAGTGTAGGAGAAAGTTTGCAGAAAGTGAGGGGCAAGCGTTCAGATCGTTGATGGATGTAACGGTAAAATGCTTTGTGCAATTGATGAAGAATTAAAGAAGCAATTAAAACAGATAACGAAAAATGTGTAAAAGAAATTATTCCAATTGTCGGTATCGAAATCTTATTCATTTTGATTCGATGATAGTATGAAAAATTGTTGCCTTGAAATTTTATTGTTAGAAAATACAAAGAATTTATATTTGCTGATTCGAAGAGGAATTTTCCTAGAAACGACAGGAACCCTCTTAACACTCAATTGGGGCTGTTTGCAGGGCTGACAAGGAAAAATCGAAGTTCCAACAAGAGGTGTACGAGCTCCTCGCTCAGCTCGACAATGTCACCAAAGAAAAGTTGATGTCGATCAAGACTGTGGAGAAGCTCGAAGTGCACGTAGCCGAGCTTAACGTGAAAATTGAAGAACTGAACCGCACCATCGTCGACATCACCAGCCACAAAACCAGGCTCTCCCAGGAAAATATCGAGCTGACAAAGGAAGTGCAGGACTTGAAGGTAAATAGCTACAAATCCCTTGTAATTTAGTACCTACTCGTAGCAACCTAAATATGTCATTTTCTGTATAAATGAAAAGAAATTTCCGAAATTGAAAATACACTACCAGCCAAAAGTTTCGAATCACCTCCCACTTTTCATCGGTATTAAATCTGTTGCTGATTTTTTATAGATTTGAAGTTTATCCCAATTCTACATTTATCAATTTATCTCATACCAATTGATTCGAACGATGAAGAATTCTCAAAGTCGCTGACTTTCTTCTGGAAATTTTTCTGTAAATTGCAATTCTCGCTGATTCGAAACTTTTGGCCTATTTAATGTAACATTGTATCTATTTTAATTTTGGTACTTTAATAACTTGTTTCGTGCGCATAAATCAGATCGATAGATCTTACAGTCAGTTGCAACAGTTTACCTAATGTCTGCATCGACAAATTGTAAAGCATCGGAGATAAATAAAAGAGGGTTGGAGATAAATGGAAAGAATGAAAAATTTGTGTGTAAATATCGTAGGTCAGCATCGAGAACGTTGTTTACCTGAAGACCCAGCTCGTTGGTCAGCTCGATGATGCTCGCCGTCGTCTCGAGGATGAGGATCGTCGTCGTTCCCTGGTCGAAGCCTCCTTACATCAGGTACACTTTATTTTAATCTTCTGTAACATTTGAATTCTTTCGGTAACTAGGAAAAAGTATTACCTTTATTTTATTATTTATATATAGCGTCTAATAATAATACCCCTAATCTTTTTGCAAAATAATCAGTTTTGTACAGTGCATATATTCAAAACTGAGTAAATTTAAAAATATTAGGTGCAGTATTTGATTATTAAATGCTCGATAATATTAAATCCAATTATATTTACCAAAACGAGGAATTGGTAATTTATGTAATAATTATCGCCAGGTCGAGACGGAATTGGAATCCGTACGCATTCAATTGGAAGAAGAATCTGAAGCACGTTTGGACATTGAACGTCAATTGGTCAAGGCCAACGGTGAAGTACAAGTCTGGAGATCGAAGTACGAGACCGAAGCTAATGCTCGCGCTGAAGAGGTGATTTAAAATGAAAAACTGCAATCTCCGTAAAATTAAAAAGGATTATTACTCGACATGTTGTAGTTAACAATGAAATTATTTGAAAATAACTAATTTCATCATTAATCTTTAATCGACGTTGCTGTTAGAAGAAAACTGGACACAATCTGTACAGCTTCCAATGAAACTATTTCAAAATAATTAATTTCATTTTTAATCTCTGGTTATATATGACGTAAAACTTTGATCAACTTTGCTGTTATTTGAATGAAATATTGATTGAATTTTCCAGGTGGAGGAGCTGCGCCGCAAGTACGGTGCTCGCATCCAGGAACAGGAAGAGCAAATTGAAACCTTGCTCGTGAAGATCAACAACCTCGAGAAACAGAAATCTCGCCTCCAATCTGAGGTGGAAGTTTTGATCATCGACTTGGAGAAGGTACGATTCCAGAACTTGGACAATTCTAACTTCCTTCCTTCTTTAAAGCGCCTCCAACTACCTCACTGCGTTACTTCTTTAAATTCGATTATTCTCTATGGTTCGTTAACGTTTGTCTGTTTCACCAATTATTCTAAGCGGTCGGTTATTCCAATTTCAATATTTAGAGAAATTGTTCTATAAAAATGAATTTTTAAAATTGAAATAAAAGAAATAACGAATAATGTTATTCTAAACGAATCTAGTAAAAATTTACAAATTGTAACTCGTTCAAAGTATAATAATTTCATGAAAATTCTCGATGTTACATATTCGTGTGTTGTTTAATCGAATTTTCAGGCCAACGGAACAGCTCGGGAACTGCAAAAGCGTGTCGAACAACTGGAGAAGATCAATGTCGAGCTCAAGGCTCGTTTAGAGGAGAGCATGGCGATGTACGAGCAAAGCCAACGCGATCTCCGCAACAAGCAACAGGAACTCCAACGTACCAATGCCGAACTTGACAAAACTCGCGAGCTGAAGGACCAACTTGCTCGTGAGAACAAGAAATTAGGAGGTGAGCGATTATAAGAATCACTCAATGCTAGGCGAAAGATCGAAATTTTTGCGAATGATGTGTAAAAATAATTTTACGTTAATTATTGCCCAATTCTTTGCAGACGATCTGAACGACGCCAAGAACCAGCTGTCCGACATGAACCGCAGACTCCATGAATTGGAACTTGAACTCCGTCGCCTGGAGAACGAGCGTGAGGAACTCGCTGCCGCCTACAAAGAGGCTGAAGCAGTAAGTGAACGCATATTTCATATTTACTCAAATATTTCTATTTATTTACAAAATATTCTCTACTAAAAAATATTAAAAAATCGTAAACAAGTTTTCTTCGCATGTTGCGATATTCAATTGCCTTTTCTAAAAAGATTGTAAACAATTTTCTTTGTACGATACGATTTTAAAAAGTATTCGTTCTTTTCAACCCTTTGTCATTTAACCTCTGTGCTGAAATTTCTACCAAATTTCTAATTTTCTCAAAATCTCTACATTTTCTTCGCAGGAAGCCATGTTAAAAAGCATCAATTTCTCATCTTCTCAAAAGTTCTCGTTTTCTACTCATTTTTTTTAACCCTTTGTCATTTTACCTCTGTGCTGAAATTTCTACCAAATTTCTCGTTCTCTTGGAAGCTCTAAGTTTGATCTATCGGAGCAATTATTAAAAACTAACAATTGATTGCAGGGACGCAAGATTGAGGAACAACGCGCGCAGAGATTGTCCGCCGAATTGACCCAGCTTCGTCACGACTACGAACGCCGCCTGACCGAGAAGGATGAAGAAATCGAAATCATTCGGTAAGTAGCTCGATGACTTCTTATCGTTTTCTTGATTTTCTTCGTTTTTCCAATGGTACAATTTTTTCGTACTTTATCGTACCTTATCGCGAAAATAGTTTCCAGGTGATACACTTAACTCAACGATCTTTCCTATAAATTTTCTCCGATTAATTGTTCTTATTTTCGAAATTGTCGACGGACAATTATTGAAAAATTTATTTTCACTTCCATATCTTGATCGATAAACAGTACAGAGATATTGACTGTTATACCAGTAACTGATATGAAGTAAAACATGCATAAATCTGCGGTAGCTAAAATTAAGTGAGAAGTTGAATCAATATCTTGCCAGACTACGGTTATTTCTATCCAATGAAATCGAATATTCTCTCATGTTGAATAAATCAAAATCTTCCAACGTCTTTGACAAAGTGCTTCTAAATATACTCTCTTCGAGCTAACAAACAAACACGAAATATCAGAGATTCGTTTATCATAGGAAAGAAACAATTGTACGAAATTAACCCTTTGTCTTACGAATTTTTAATCGCTGCGTATATCAGCCTCGACTATTCACTATGTCAATAGAGCATAAAATAAAAGAAATAAAAATCTTTTATGCAACTTATGCTTTCTAACGGTCAGATGTAAATTTAAGAACGAAAATTTTTCATTTTATTAATTTAAATATTACAGCACATTTAAATTTATCGATTAAATTTTAATTCGGATGGAAAAAGCGGATGTTGGGGATAAAGTGCAAATCGATTAAAAATAGAATTCTCCTGTTGTCACGTGTGGACTCGTTATTACAAGGCAAAGGGCTAACTCGAAGTTACGTTGTTTAAACAAAAGAAGCTTGCAAGAAATATTCACGTGCAAAAAACTAAACACATATTTTCAAGCCTTTTTGTAATACGAAAAATAATACTATTTGTTGCCTTCTAACATTGCACGACCCACACTAGACGATCCTTTAACGTTCGTTCAAGTTACACAACCGGCACAGAAAATTCACAACCTAACACTCCGCACTTAGAATAAACGCAAGTGTGAAAAGAAAGTGTCTCGAAGTGAGTTCGAACGAATTTCTAACTAATTAGCCATGATCTGTGATGCAATCGACGTTATTTCCGGTACAACCACCGTACGCGACTCTGATCTATAAATAGTACAGACACGGTTAATTTTATCATCGATCAGACGCATCGATTAATCATCCAAGGTGTCTTCCGTGTGGTTCGACTAAGATTCAAGGGAATATCCTCTAGTGATCTAATTATTTATACGTATATACGCGAGTGTGTATAGCGAAAAATGAAAATCGAGTGCCAAGATCGAATCGTCGTCGATGATCGAAAACGACGATTATTTTTCTTGGCTCGAGTCCCTTCGATACGCGATGCCAAACGCTCGATATATCGATGGTATCACTGTGAATGGAGTTCACAGAGAGCAGGTACATCGAGAGGGACGAAGAATACGTTCGAGTATGACGAAGAAGATAATTATGGTACATTACTCTATCTGAAGAGATCTAAAGAAAAATCGTCATAAATGTGGGAGGAAAAATTGTGTAACGCGAAGAAGGAGGAAATATTTGTTTATGAAACAAAATAGGACGATGGCGATGAAGATACTTGTTTCGAAGTTTATGAGAAATGAAGAAACTTTTAATTGAACACCTCGCGATTCGACGAAGAATAAAATGACAATATCGACGGAGGAAGAGAGTGTTAGTCGATGTTGAATAATTATTGCATAAAAAATTGGACCGATATAATAGAAGGAATGCAAATGCAGTAATAATCGTACAGCTATGAAGGACGTTTAACTCGAGGAAGAATAAAAAAACACTAAGTATGACAATTACAAGAAGAATTAAAAATTTGGTGTCGCTGTATTTAAAGAAATTACCAAACGCACAGCAAGTGCACTTTTAATTTGTTTAAAAATTTGATTACGAACAATTAAATTCGCCGGAGAAAATGTCGCTTCAGTCACCAGACGAGTAATTCCAATGAAATAATAAAGTTGTTATCGAAGAAACGTTTCGGTGAAAAATCTCACGCCTCGTTTGCCAAGCGGGCGGATTTTCGGTGAAATCTCGAAAAGAGTTATTACGTTCCGTGTGATTAATGGAGCTGCGTAACGCATATGCGCGAGCCAGTGCGCAATCCGACTATTAATAAACGTCGTTCAACACCGATCAGTCACGATCCAATTATTAGCCGGGAGGTGCTGATTGGCCGTCCTCAATGTGGCAATCGTAGGGAAAAGCTACAAAAGATACCAGCGCGTTCGATCGGCCCAATTTTTCCCGGCTGTTTCGTTAGAAGCGTCACACCGCCGTTCCATCCGACTATGAGAGACTCGTGAGTAAAATTAGCGAAATTTTCTTCCTCGTAGAGAAATTTCGAAACGTACGAAACCCTGTATCTAACATCTTCAACCCCGACCAACAAACTCCGTATGAAATACAACCTTCGGTCCTTTCTATTCAAGGTAGATGTTGGATGAAACATTAACAATCCCCAGACAAATACTCGAAAAAAAAAAATACACGATATTTGCGAAAGAGCTGATTAACAGGAAGGTAAGCAGTATCCTCGAACGAAAGAATAGGTACTTTCACCGGCGCGGAGTGTGACCGACGAAAAAATAGAACGAGGAAGAAAGGAAACGATCTCTTGGAACGTCCAAATCGAACTTTCTACTGCTCGCTTTTGAAGAAACTTTTGAAAACACTGTCTCTAGAAGCATCAGCGATACACGGGAGCTAAGTGAAGAAAGTCCGAAGTGACCTAATCTGAGAAAGCAGAACTTGGAAACTTTGTCAAAAGTAACAAAGAAATTCTTAAGGAAGAAGAAGAAGTAACGTCTTCCGTAACTCCGTTCGACATAACTCCTCCATCAAACCGAACCAAACACTGTAAAACAGAAGAGAGAGAAATTTCGAAATCTCCACTCGACGAATCGATCCGAAGAAACACACGGTAGAGAAAAATGGCGGGCTACCTGCCGCCGATGTACGTACCGCTAGAACCAAGATGGAAGCACTGGCCTACGTACATCTACGACCGGAACTACAGCTACGGTATCAACTTCTACCAGCCAATGCTCGAGTATATCGATCGTCAAGGTCGATCGAATTCGTTGGCCAGCGAGTATCGTAGACTAAGAATATCAGAACCGCCGGAATTGCCCTGGACAGACGGCAGACTTCTGTGGGAGGACAAACCGGTGGAACCGTACTCGAGACGCGAGCTGATCAAACGGGCTGTCGACGCTGAGGACGAGGCTAGGGATCATCTGTCACATTTTAAGGTACGAGGAGAGAGTGAAAGCTGGTCCTGAACCGTGGAAAACCGGTCGATTCGCGCGGTTAGGCGCCTCCGCGACTGCCTGACCTTTTCGTTCGCTAAATTTGGCGCCGCGGAAGGGACTGCTCCACCTCGAACCAGACTTTGTTCGACGCCGGATGCCTCGCGTGGCTGTTGGCGTTTCTCAAGCGCATCTCTGTCAATCGTATTGACGTAGGCGCGAATTCCTCGGGGAGGAAAGTCATGGTCGCTACGGGGGAATTCTGGGTGATCCGGGCGGGGTTTGTATTTTTGGGTAAATAGGATTCGAGGTTTGAATGTTGAGAAGGTGTTCGGTGGTAGGTTTTTTGGGGGTTTTTAGAGTATTTTGAGGAGGGTCAGGATTAAATAGAAGAGTTCTGGAAGAATGTTGGTTGTTTCGAAGGTAGAAGATGAAGAATTAGTCTAAAGGGTTTAATGTTGAATATAGATTGCGAAAGTATTGGGAAGAAAATTAATTTAAGTGTTAATTGAACAGGGGAAGTTTATTGTAGGAACAGAATTAAAGCGTTTCTTTAAATATTCATACATTTAACAATTCTTACGATAGCTTGAATATTGCTTCTCTTAGAATATAATTGAAGTATGTGGAGTACTGATCCTTATATCGATATTATAAAGTAGAAATTTAAAAAAATTTTTCTTATATTAATACTATATAGTAAAATTTTTCCAG